TTATGTTTGCAGATTAATTGGTTTGGTAAGTCACAATTTTATTTACTGTAATTAAATTTATCAGTTTATTTGCCAGGTTTTAATCATCTGATCTTAAAATGTTCACTCTCCTCCTTTTAGTTTGTTGAGTGTAATTTTGATGATCCATTAGTACTAAGAGGACATGCAGCTGTGAAAGGAAGGTTCGGCTCTTCTCTTGCTGTACTGCCTGATCTAAACTCAGATGGATTCATGGATTTGGCAGTTGGAGCACCTTTGGAGAATGACGGCAGCATCTACATATTCCACAGTGAAGGAGGACGAATCAGCCCTACTTACTCACAGGTATACAACATCAAAGAACTCACAAAGATTATTAAATGCATCTATTATGCAAAGCCACACTATGCAGAGTGATTAATAAAATATTTCTATGTACACAGAGAATTACTGGCTCTGAGGTCCAGTCAGGACTGAAGTTCTTTGGTTTATCAATCAGTCAGTCATCTTTTGATCAGAGCGGTGATAAACTTCCTGACTTAGCAGTGGGTTCAAAGGGTAGAGTTGTTTTACTGAGGTAAGTCCAAGATAGTCTAGTCAGTATTGTTGTCTATCATATTTCTACCATTTTTATTAATGTGCAACCCTGATGATCGTATTTGTGTGCAAAAGGTTTGGACTGGCTGAAAAGTCCTTATTATATGAATAGCGCATTTGTTTTATATAACCATCAAACTATTCATGATAAGAGATTTAGGATTTTCAATTGAATACATATACAGTGGTCCTTTGTTTATCGCGGGAGATACTTTCTAAAAAAAACCCGCGATAGGTGAAATCCACGAAATAGCCAGCTTTATTTTTTACTATTATTATAGATGCTTTAAGGCTGTAAAACCCCTCACTACACACTTTATACACTTTTCTCAGGCAGGCACGAACATTTTCACACTTTTCTCTCTTGTTTAAACACTCTCAAAGCTCAAATCTTCGTAGAAAAATAAGTCCAGTATTATAGAATGAAACAAAAAGATCAAACCCTGTTTTCAGGTCCAGAACAAGGGAACAGAGCTGTCACGGCTGTGCCAGCATTCGTATGGTGTGTGTGAGAAAGGACCCAAATGCTGGCACAGGCTTGGATGTGAGCGAGCTTAAACATTGGTGGCACAAACAGAAACACGGCAATCAAAAACAGAACCTAAATATAATCTAAACTGGGAATGACTAACAAAACTAACCTGAAACCTAAAAGCCTTAGACGGGGATGCAGGGAGATGCAGGGGAAAGGACACAGACGAACCAGTGACAAACACAAGAGAACACACACTATAAATACAAGACAAGATGGGGGAAATGCAAGCTGAACACACTGGCATAAGACACAGACCTTCACAATAAAACAGAAAACGCAGAACACAGGGAAGCCATATAACAAACCCTAAAACTAGAACTCAAGAAACACTAAAAAAACTAAAGAAGT